AAGCATTTGTGTGAAAGTGAATGCAACAGTCGGAATTTAAAATCAACATGGTTCTACATTCAGCGCCGTTAACCGCTACGCTACGGGTACATCCATCGAAGCATGGATTTCAGATGAATATTTGTAATTTCCGAGGTAGAGACTTGGCAATAATAATTATTATTGTTTTATTTCTTTTGATTTCTGGTGTATACTCATTTCTTTCCGGGTTCTGCCAAGAAGCCTAAGGTCAGAAATGACATCATGACGTTTTCCACTGACTATTATTTCAGGAAAAATAGACCCCCCGCAAAAAAAAACAAACTAAGATCACACATATTTTATGTAGATAAATCCCTTCGTGATATGTGAGCTGTACTTGTGAGTACAATATTTTGTATTTCTTTAAGGCATGAACTCAGGATTCCCTTCAATGAATCTATTGGAATAGTTTCCTATCAATCTGAGGGCTCCAACTACGACTGGAGTTGTTATGTCCACATGTGCCACATTTTTCAGATTTTGTTTTCACGATCCTTGTATTTTGATAGTTTTTTTGAAGATCTTTAAAGATACATTGCAGTCTATAGAGACAGCCATGTCAATAAGAAGGCGATCAGCTTTGAAATGGTTAACTGAAATGCCCCAAAATTACAGACAGTAATAAAATTTCGCCATCCTCACTTCCAAAAATAGACTCGGCCCGATTACATCTTTGTAATGTGATAGGTAATTATGGCATCCATTAGATTTCCTGGTTCTGTGTATTTAGGAGCGTAACAGTAACCAGCAGTATGTGAATTCCGTTACGTGAAAACTGCGGACACTCACATGTTAAGTAAAAACGTGATTGACAGCGAATGACAACGTAACGCACAACACATCCGTGAACTCTTTATACAGCCTACACGATATCCTATGGTGTTTTATCGTCGTCGACCTGCATGATCACCATCAAGATCGGGTCAGAGAACATCGGTATTGAACCACTAAATGTTTCGTGTCGTATAACCTGGTTACATTTTTAACAATTTCAAACAGACGGTCGAGTTCGTGTGTAAAGGAGACTGCCTTTGTCCAGCCTATCGAGTTTTTAGCAGGGAAATACCACAGTCAAAATAATAAGAGGTATTTGAATAATTAGTATAATACGCCTTTATCCATAATATGCACCCATAAAATTCTGCTGAAAGTGTGTAAAAATGATTCTACTCACGCATAATACGCACCCCTCGTTTGGTAATCAAACCCTAAATAATGCACCTCTCCAATTTAATTACGGCTAGCATTTCCTACTCTTAATCCAGCTGTAATTGAAGAGATTTATCAAAATTCTAAACGGAAACGGAAATACCTATATTGTGCCTACGACGCAGACTCATTAACCTATTTTTGTTTGATAAAATGTGAAATCTAACGGATTCAAAAAAATGGCTTTAAACATAGAATAATATAATTCAAATTTAGTTTTATGATAATTCTTATTTTATTTTACATTTGTAAGTATTGTTAGGTATATTTGATCCTTATGGGGTCGCAATCGCCGAATGTTAGTGTCAAATTGTTGTATGTTTGTGGTGATAAGTCATTTCGCAATAGAAATCGATCTATGAAACGGCAATTTTTTAAAGATTTTTTTGTAGATGTGCATAATACGCACACCTAATTTTCCTTATTATTTTTTTTAGAAAGAATGCGTATTATACGTGAGGAATTACGGTATTCTTCTCAAGTTTTTTTTTTCCTTTAAATTTTTATTCGTGTTTATCGCTACAGATAAGAGTGACAGTAAGTCAAAAAAATTACAGCAATCGACTTCGGCGTTCCTGGATACTGAATAGACTCCATTCTTTCACTACCGATGCAAAACGTTATTGGATAATTTTTCAGTGTTCCAATAAATTGTGACGTCACTCTGGCCTCTCTGCGCCCGTTGCCGTGCTATCCTGTGACGACCAACATGACTTGGTATTGGTCGCGGCACCAAATGTGACGTGATCCTGCTGTCACGGCACCAAATGTGACGTTCTAACCCTTGGCTGATTCGGATGGGAATCTGGTTAGATTCGGTATCAGCTTTGTCGTTCCCCGCTCGCCTCCAACGTCTGGTTACCGAAATAACTGCTTTGATTTCTAGTCTAAACTACCCACTTTGTGATTTGATCTTAGGTAGACGAAATCAATCAGTCGCCGGGCCGTAATGCAAGCCGAATTCGAGCAAAGGTGGCATCGCACAACTATATGTAAAAGAAAATAAAGTAACAACTCGAAAAGTTCAAATGTGTTAAAAAAAGAATAACAAATATTTTTATATCTGGTTCCTGAATACAGGATTGAATCTTTCTCCCAACCCGCTTCTATGGATTCGTGACACTTTGTGTTTGTTAGGCGAATCTTAATATCTTAAGTTGTTTTTCAATAACTGTTTTTTTGTATCTTCAGGTGATATTCGTAAAATTTGTTTTGGTGGTGTGAGTCTAAGTCGTTCTTCAAAAATAAATTGTTCTTGGTTAGAAATCGAAGTCTGAATGCGTGGATCTTCAGTCAGCTTCCTGCGAGGCTGGTCTCAGAGCCCACAGCTCAACTCTGTCTGCGTCTGCGTCTCCTCGGAACTCTGCCGAACTCTCTAACTCCAACTGCAACTGCCGTCTACTCGCTGTGACTCTGTTTATATGGACGCCGACCAAAACCGGGTGTGGGCGTGTCGGGGTTTGAGTTCCTCGATAATTCTAAATCCACAATAAGGATTTTCTTTGTTTTTGGACAGGAAAATTTATCACTTTCCATTTTTGGAAGGCCATTACTTTCTGCTTTTAGAGGGGTTCTTAAGGGAATCCTCCTCCCAAATTCTTCCTTTCTCATATTGGTATCTCACACCAATCCCCTCAAAGGGCGTCAAAAGGCTTCCCTTCTTTCTCATAGTGGTATCTCACACCAATCCCCTCAGAGACGTCAACAGGCCTCCCCTCCTTCTTATATGTTTACCTTCACCCACCGCTCACGCCACAACTCAGCCAATGAACGCTCAGCAGCGCGGGTGTTTACAATTATCACTCAAAGGAAAAAAATATCTTCCTTTGTTTCTTTTCTTTCTTTTCCTACACCAGACCCCTTACGACTCATAGTGTGGTCCTTAATCTCTATCTTAACCGAATGTAATCTGGAATTTATCAACGTGATTTTCGCCAGCGTCAAATGGGTGGTTAACTGGACGTCTTCGCACTCTGTCGCCAATTATCTGTCCCGGTAACAAACTTTTATCATGTCCAGGTCTGGACAATAAAACAGGTGGTCTCTTTCCAAAAACAAATGATATCTCCGAAAGATAGTTAATGGTTTATTCTTTCCCTTCCTCTCCCTTTCTCTCTGGGGTGGCCTCAGCTGATGCCTTTCTCGATCAGTGCGTGGCCTGATTACGATTATCTTCCAGCTTCTGTTTCGTAGGCCACTTGACCAATTTGAAATTTTCATTATTGCCATGGGCAGATTGCTATCTTTTATTCGCCGCGTCGTAGCATAAATTAATTCCGACAGATCCGAGATCTTACGAATTTCCTATCTTCTGCGAAAAAAATACTTTTCTTCGCAAATGAAAATAAAATTTTTTCCACTTTTCTTTGTTAAAAAAATAACATCGCTCAATATGACTTTCGTGATAGCTTCTCCTCACCTTAATTATTTTTCGCTTTTAATTTTCACGCAACCGCTAAATAGTGTCACAAAATATTGACATTATTGTAAACCTATCCTTTCTTTGCCCTTGAGCAAAGTCTTGTTATTTCAGTTTTATTATATCGCACAGAGTCAAAGGATAGTCTGTTCCACAGGCAAGGTGTCAACAAGATTCCACAAAATTCAAGAATTTTCTTGTTGGCTTTCCAAGTGCACTCCATACTACCGAACTAACTTCAGTCCTCATGGCACATAGTCTTTTCAACTCCCAAGCCAGATACTGGTATTTTTTTCAATCTGTTCAGTTTTTTAGGAATCCACACTTGCACCATATGGAAAGGCAAACTTAATAATTTCACACCTGCTACTTTCCTTATCATTATAAGGTCGGGGCTTTGAGCTTTAATGACATGATTGGTCTGGACCGAGAAATTCCAGATATTTTGTGACTTCCATTTTCTACCACTGCTTCTGGTTGATATTCATACCATTTCTCTTTTACACTGAAGTTATACTCACGGCATACTACCCAATGGTTTCTTTGACCATGTGCTTAACTATATTAGGAGGGTGTCCACACATCCTGCATTTGCTTTCTTTTTGTGATTTGTTTATCTTGGCTTCGATTACATTCGCTCGCATGAACTGCTTCTATGATGCAAATATATCTGATATTGTTTCTCTCTTTATAGAAACATCTTTCACCCAAAGCCATCCCGTAGGTCCAGGAATTTTTGATGTCTGCTGAAAAAAAATCCTGATTTTTTAAAACTTTTCATGTTTTTACTTACGCCGTTTCTTTGTTACACTCACTGAATTGACATTTTGCTCTTCCAGATCCTTAGATCCAGATCTCTTGTTGTCGTTGTCGTCGTGGTTGTTGTTCTTCCTCTTTTTCTTTTTCTAATTATTATTATTATTATTGTTATTTCTTTCGATTTCTGGTGTGTACACATTTCCTGTCCAGAAACCTAAGGTTAGAAATGGCATCATGGCATTTTCCACTGACCGAAAAAAAAAGCAATACAAAAAATTATTCTCACGATTAGAGCCCATACCTTACGAAGGGGTTTATCTATTTAATTTAATTTCTATAATTGAATTGGAAGTTTTTTGCTTCTGTTTTTAAAACATGGTAATTCACGTTTAGCGATAGAATCATATTATTATAATATATATATATATATATATATATATATATATATATATATATATATATATATATATAAACGGACCACTTAACTTAAGGAGTACGTAAATACAGATCTCGTTTTTGGAAAATTAGCGCAGTACAATCGGCCTACTCCTTTTCTTCATGTTGGCCTTGTGTCAGACAATATGAGATTTCGATGTTGTTGGTGATGGTGATAGTAGACAGCAGCGACACCGGTGGCGAAAATGATCCTCGAATTTATCCTCGAATTTGGTCGTTGAATGCTCTAGCAGCAACCATAGCGCCGTTTGCTGTGTTAAATACACGGGTAGCAGCCGGGAGGGTGGAGGCGGTTAATAAAAGCCGCCGTGAGCTACTCGCCCCATCGCCCTGGCGGTCGTCGAAGCCACATGACACAGAACCACGACAGTGGTGTGTGCCAGCTGTCGATAGAGGGCGCTATCGATCGCCGACAGTAGTTGGCGTCCCAATAACGCGTCGACACAGACAATCGAACAAACTGATCGATCAAAGCACGTGTTTGGCTGTCGGTGGAGACGGGTGGTGGTGACCGCTTAATGCTTGGAGGGGTGGGAATATTGAAACGAGGAGAAACGGGCGAGGAAAGAGAATATATTTATAAACGGGTCAGTGCGCCGTTTGTATACGTGTATCCCACACCCCGGCTTTTACTTTGTGAATGTTATTACAGTTTCCATTTTTTTTTCTGCATAAATTATTTTTTTATCCAATCTCGCAGACCACAAAGCCTAAAATGAAATCGTAGACTCGAGAGCAGAGCTTTCATGATAACGAAAAGAACAAAATGAATAGTTCTCCCTAATGTCTGCAGTTCGACAGGATTATCGAGGTATTTAAAAAAAAATTTTTTAATAAATTTATGACATTTAATGGAACTCAAAACGGGCCGCATGATACCTGCTCAACAAGCACGCTGGAATGACAGAAATTTAATCCTAAAATCGGGGTGGGACATCTTAGCAGTTTTTAAAATGTCTTTTTAAAACTAATTAAATATAAACTCCTTCCCCAGCAAAACCTTGAAGTCAAGTTTTCTTTTTAAATTCTTAATCTTAAGCTTAACCCATCGGTTCTATTTCTTTTTTGTCGAACTAACAGAATCTCAGGACCGGGTGTTAAAGTTTCGAGTTAATCGTTTAAAGATTATAATTGACGAAGATGAAAGAAGCCTGTCTATTCTTATCGAGGAATCTATGCGGAAAATTTGCAGCCGATATAACGAAACATTCGAGCGTATCTATCTATCTATCTATCTATCTATCTATCTAGATAGATAGATAGATAGATAGATAGATAGATAGATAGATAGATAATAAAGGTAACAAATCCGTCGGTTTATAATCCAAGTGGCTCCTAGTAATAAAAAATATTAAAACTGATCCATAAAAAGAGCTCAATATTCTGGGAAAAATCTAAACCGAGCATTATATATATATATATATATATATATATATATATATATATATATATATATATATATATAATGCCAAAACTTCATCTGAATCTGGAAGCAAAACGGAATGCCAGACAATAATTGTAAGATTTTTATAATTATTATGCATTTCATTTCGTTCTGGGATATAATTTCCCTTTGATGTTCTCGTCTGGTTTTTATATTTGACAGTAAGATTGAGTTTCAAAATAGTAAACTCATTGAAATCAATCATATATTTCCCGTTTCTTTTTTATCGACCATTTGAAATATTTGAAATGTGTAACCTTATAAAAATATGCATGTTTTGGGAGACCCACTTTCAATTCTGTCTCACTTTATCCCACCCGCCATCAACTAAAAAATAAGTAAAAATAAAATGTCGACCCGAACCAAAATTATCATCCATGATTGCCATTCATTTGGCAAAAAATCTATGAATATGCCTGTGTTGTAGAGAGTGAAAGACACAATAAAAGGGTTAAAAAAAAAAGAGTGACGTGTGTTCGAACCCTGTTAGAGGGCACGATTTCCTTGTTGGCTTTCTCGAAGAGGTAGCCCGGTAAACGTTGTTCACTGTTTAAAAAATTAGATGTCAACTCAAACATGAGTATCGACAAAAATAATGTAGTAGGGAATATATATATATATATATATATATATATATATATATATATATATATATATAAGGGTCATTGAGGCGACAGTCTGTATCATGTGGAATGCAATCGTCAGGCTATGATTGAATGAGCTCATGGCGAGTTCTATGACTGTAAAATATACATAGAAATTTCCTATCACACCTTTAAATATTTGAGCTTAACAACTTTAAGAAAATCTTGGTGAAAGCATAAATATGAATGCTGGTCGTCATTTTAAGAAGTAAGGGTGTACAAATGAAAATATTTGAAATTGAAATCATCTTACATTTCACTGAAACAGGCGTTAAGCACTTCTGTCTTCCCTTTTTTCTTTTATTTTCTGATTGAAACCAAGTAGCGTCTCTGATATGTCTTGTCTTTCCATTGATCAAGACGGAATAGCCCATTATTTATGAGATATTGGCAAGGAGTAACTAATAAAGGGAGGTTCAAACACAATTAATATATATATATATATATATATATATATATATATATATATATATATATATACAAATCCCGGCACCATCATAATCACCCGATGAGACATCTTTTTAGATGTCGAAACAACTATGAATTTTTGTCGTGGTGCCTTGTATGTCGAATGTAACTGTTTAAATATATATATATATATATATATATATATATATATATATATATCTGTATATATATATATATAGTATCCCTCGCAGATAGTACGACACTGATTTTCATACTCGGCGCAATCTTCAGGTGCTGAGTATGAACTGAGCGTTACATAATTTTGAATTATAATGTATATGGTTATCGCAGTGTTGGCGTAGTTATATATTATGCTGGGATTACAGTTTTTTTTTATTTTAAAAATTGAAAATTATATTTGGCAATTAAAATAAATATATATATGTACAAAAAAATCAATAAATGAATGGGGAATATTAATATTTAAATTCTTAAAAATTATATAATTAAAATTAGATTATTTGTTCTTATTAAAACATGAATATATTTATTTAATAGTAATATATTAAAAATAAGACCATAATTACCATTAAAAATAAAAAAATAAAAAATTACGAAAATAAAACTTAATTGAAAATTAAAAATAAATATAAAAATAAAAATTAAAGATAAATATAAATAAAATAAAATAAAAATAAATAAAATAAAAATTTAAACAAATTTTAAAAAATTAAAGAATTAAAAATATATATATGCTTAAAATAAAGTAGTTCCTTTAACATTTTCCAATTTATTCTCTGTGTTTTTGGGAGCTTTAATCTAATCCTCATTAGATTTTATTGAATGAAACCTTTATAGAAATATGATAAGGAAACTATTTTAATCATTAATGCTCACAATATTTGATATTTTTTACAGAATTGCTCAGTACTTTGAGGTCACGTTTTTCACGGCTCTAATTTTTTTCTAACTTGTTCTGATTTTAATTTATTTTCAGATAAATGATGAAAAATATCTAAGTCAGCAACTGAAAATGCAATCGTCGTAATCGTTGCCTTAAAGGAAGAACCTAGTGGTTTTGTGTATGTTCGCTTCTTGAATGTTGCACGGTCGTTTGTTCTCGTAAGTTGCAAAGAACTGTAAGCCTCAGAAGGGGATTCTATACCACTAGTACAATCCCAAAAGACGAAACGCGTCACAGGAAAACTAATATATATATATAATGTTATTCGCAGACAGTACTGTTTCGCAGTTCTTCAGTGCGACTATACTACCAAGAATGCCTCAAGCCCGGATTGAAACACAATCGTGTTGGTGACAGCCAGAGTCTCTAACACTGAGCTATCTTCACTCAGCGGAATGAGTCAGCTAAATCTAGCGTATTGTTTTTACAAATGTAAACAAACGCCCGACAACCGAAGTGCTCCATTTATTTTACTTTGCATTAACGCAGGTGGCTGTTGTTTTTAGAATTAGCTTGTCATTCAACAGTGCTCAAATGAAAATATATTTTCCAGAGCTAAATTTTATATATATATATATATATATATATATATATATAAATATCCAGAGTTATTAAAGGCCTAATACACGAAACGCGTTACATAAAACTCTCACATACACAGACGGACACACACACACACACACACACACACATATATATATATATATAAGAGCGAAATATTGTCTTAAGGTGTGCTATATTTATGGGATAAAGTGCTTCATATCAGAGATACAGCGTGTGTAAATATAAAAGTGAACATTGAAGTCAACACTTAGAGGCGACAGTCTGTTTCATGTTAGATGTAATCCACAGGCCATATGTGTTTATTTATATATATATATATATATATATATATATATATATATATATATATATATATATATATATATATACTTATTAATTTAATGGCCTTATGATGTTTCATATTTTGCTTCAGAATTGTTCAGTTCGTTCTTGGACACGTCATTTAACATTTCTAATTTTTTTCTAACTTGTTCTGATTCTAATTTCTTTTCAGATAAATGATGAAAAATATCTAAGTCAGCAAATGAGAAGGTAAACCTTGTAAACGTTGACTTAAAGGCAGAACACAGGAATTCAGAGATTGCACACTTCCTGATGAGGATTCGACAGCAGTAGACAAATATTAAATGCTGCTAAGGATCTTAAGGCTCTAGAACTCCCCAGTTTGTACGAAAGATGCAGAACGTCATCGACAGGAACAAAAGATTTTCAATTATTACCATTGCTAAGGAACAAAAGTTTTCAAGGAACTCTATCTGAAGAATTTTTTATGAGGGCCGATGATAGTGAAGTAAATTTTAGATAGTCTAAATATATGTTGTTTTCTTTGATGCAAATGAAAGAAAGGCACTGACCTCAATGTGGAGAACTGTATATGACAGATATCTAAGTTTTGCTTCACAACTGTGGATTTGTACTGAACTCACAACAATTTGGGACGAATCACTGGATCTAACCGACGTCTTTCTCCACTGGGTCATGTGTCCTCGAGGAAAGTTGAGTCAAAGGGAAATAATTGAGACATCTGGAAGAGGCATGGCACGTGGAACTAGAACAATCTAACCCGGTGGACGAAATGAAGGCTTCGGTTCGAAATTCCAATCGCCTGATGAAGGCCGGAGCGTACAACGGCTGAAATGTGGTGAATATGGTAATGAAGATGAGGATAACAGTCTGAATAATGTAAATAATGCAAGTAATCATAATACCTCATCTCAGAGATATAGACAGATATATAGAGATGCATAGGCATGAAGGCCGAAGTGTATAACGATCGAAACGTTGTGAATATAGCAATGAAAATGAAGATAAGACTCTGAATAATGTAAATAAATCAAGAAGGCATAATACTTCATCTCAAAGATATAGACAGATATTTACAGAGATATGGACATAAAGGCCGGAGCGTATAAAGGCCGAAACGTTGTGAATATGGCAACGAAGATGAGGATAACAGTCTGAATAATGTAAATAATACAAGTAATCATAATACCTGATCTGACAGATATAGACATAAAGGCCGGTGCGTACAACGGCCGAAATGTTGTGGAGATGGCAATGAAGATGAGGATAACAGTCCGAATAATGTAAATAATGCAAGTAATCTCAATACCTCATCCCAGTGATATAGACAGATATAGAGAGAGACATAGACATAAAGGCCGGAGCGTACAACGGCCGAAACGTTGTGAATATGGAATGAAGATGAGGATGACAGTCCGAATAATGTAAATAAATCAAGTAATCATAATACTTCATATAGCTATAGACAGATACTGCCATAAGAAATCACTTATTTTCCTTTTTGTTGATTTAATAGAAACGTGGGACTATACTTTATACAATCTACAATATAAATAAGAATATACATGCAATGTAAAATTAAAAATTACTAGACGATTGAAACAATGTGCATTCAATAGCATAAAAATGTTCTTCCTGTTTTAGAACAATGAGAAAAAAAATGTTCTGCCAAAGAGAAAACAAATTACGATATAAAAAATGCCGGGCCAATCGAATAACACCCGGATTGATCACAGTTTGAATTTGTAAATATGGTGCTACTGTTAAATGGACACACACCAGTCAGTAGACCATTGTCTACTGACTGGTGTGTGTGTCCATTTAGTCATGCAGCATCCAGAACGGCTGATTTCAACTTGTCCAAACAAATATTTTGTTTTGACATTCAAATTTTAATATACGTGTTAACACACGTATATTAAAATTTGAATG